GTTGATGGAACAGAAAGAAAAGGATTAAATGCCGTATCCAAAACTCACTGCCATCGAGTCAAACCTGACTCCTAGTGACCCTGTGGGACGGTCAATCTGTCCCAACGCGTTTCTGAGACTGTAACTTCACAGAGTAAGAAAGCCATATCTTTCTCCCTCAGCGTAGCTGACGATTTCAAACTGCTGAACATGCGGTGAGCAGCCGCACACCGGAGCAGTCCGCCAGCCGGGCTCCTGACCGCAGCCAAGACAGGTAACTCCGTCGGAATGAGAGAACGATGGTCAAGACCCACCGTTTGTGCGAAGTGCTGTCATTGGGTTGGGTGTTCTTAGATTAGTAACAACATTTTTAGACGTATCAAACTGATGGCACAGACATGAAAAAGAAGGTAGGCAAGCCTGTTGTTGGGGGCCCTGGGGTCGGTTCTTCGCAACCCTTTATGATCCTACGGTGAACGACGCCCAGTCCTGAGCCATCCTCACGGTTGTTGCCTTTGTGTGTAAGTGGTCTAAATAAGCCTAGAAAACTGAAGAAGCTGGGAAAGGCAAATTAAAGCTGCAGTGGATTTACCCCACGATAAAGGTAGATTCCTTCAGTCAAATCTCCAACACAGTAGGACTTGGGTTATGATAATGCCTATTTAGTGTTTACCAGAGTCTTTTGTTTATAGTTTTCATCACATTATTCCAAAGTTTTCACATTCATTAAAAGTCATTTGGTACTTGCACTTATATTACAAATGTGAACCTTCAACATAATTAGTATACTCTTTAGCCCAAACCAGCCTTTATAATTAGTATTAAAAATTTGTAGCCTCATATGCAAAAGGATATCCTGTAATTGTTACTTCATTCTCTACAGACATTCAAGGTTAGAAATACTAGGCTATTATTTTTCCATCTGGCTGCTAATCACTAAAGTGGCTCAGCTGCAAGCCGTCATTATCTTACAATCTGTTGTGAGGTCCTCTTATTAGCCACCTTTGGGCCTTATGAACCTTGAAAGATGTGTGTGCCAGGCTGCACGCACATCGGCTTTGACGGTGGGTAGAATGAAGGTAACACTTCACTTTTATTTCCTCCCACGTCTGTTTTTCATTCTGAAGGGTTTTTCACCTTAGTGAATCATAGAATCTTTTACTCACCTCTTGATTCCATTCCATTTTTGATGACTTCTAGTTTTCCTAGATTCCAAGATCGTACATTGCATGTTCTGAGTATTAGATTTTTGCAGCTGTTTCTTCTGACCTTGAGTTGTTCCCTATCGGCAGATGGAGATCCCGGGAAGGCTCCACTCCCACAGGCTTCACTCCATCCACTCATGCCGCCATGGATCTGTGTTGGGGAAATCATTAGGTGCTCCCCAGGAGAAAGACAAGGCTTTCGACTGCCTTTAAGGCTTTACAGTCTAGAAGACCCACAGGGGCAGTTCTGTCCTTCTAGGGTCACCACGAGTCAGCATCGACTTAATGACAGAGAGTCTGAGTTTTATGCATCTTGTGCGTTCCTGCCACAGGGCTGAACTCACCCATTTCTCAAGGAGCCCTGTTCCCCTTCGTGGGAATGGCATTTACATGATTAATCTGGACACTAGCCATCAGGACTATCACTGCCTTCCTGCCTTTCTTGGCCAAAGTAAGGTATATATATATATATATATATATTGTAGAAAGAGAAAAAATTATCATTAATGAACACTGATATTGCCAGTTCATATTTCAGGATACGGAGTTTAAATTTTGCTTCATTGGTTTAATCCTTAGTTTTATGTTCTTTTTAACTAGAAACCTTGGTTTCTAATGGTATTAAGAAGATTGCTTAGTGGCTTCTTTATTTATTTATTAATCATTTTATTGGGGACCGTACAACTCTTTTAAAAAAAAAATTTATTCTTTATTTATATGCACGTGTAAAATATATATTATAGTACCCAAATCACAAAACCAATGGTACTATTAGCACTACTATTACTACATAGTTTATTTTGTTATTCTTTTTTTGTGTTAGGATATGTTACACTAAGTATATGTATTCATAATCATGAGTTTTAACATTCTTGTAAAGAGCCCTGCTGTTGCCGGGATGAAAACTCTCCATTCCTGGCCATCAGGGTCTCCTGCTCGCTTGCAGAGGAATGTGGCAGTGAGCTTCTGAGAAGATTACAGCCTTGGAACTTCGTGGGCAGTTCTGCTCTGCCATTACAGTCCAAGTCCACTTGACAGCAATGGGTCCGGCTTAACGTGGGCTGCTTATTTTAACATGTGGTTATGCCAGTAACTTGAAATGCCCTCAATGAGAATGTTTTTTGGAAATGCTTTGTTTTTAAAAATAATTATGAAGCGACAGGATATATATGCAGAGAAGCATGTGCAGAGATGAAAACGTTCCTATAGCCTTCACCACGTTCCTTCTTTCTAAGGCATGACCATTTTATTCGTTCTAAATGTACATTCCCATTGCTTCTTTCGAAACATGTAAGTAAAAGCATGCAACCATAATCTATTTCTCCTGTCTTTCCTACACGAAGGGGTTTCAAAAAATCCGTGGAAAAATTTCATTATCTTTTCATTTCACTTTGTGAAGCCCTGTATACAGAAGTCTCTGACTTGCCTTTTTTTTTCTCTCCCAACTAACAATATACCTTGGAGCCCTATGGAGGTCCACAGAGAGCGTCCTCGCTCCTTTGTACGGCTGCACAGTACTGCATTGTGTGCTAGTACCGTGGGTTATTCAGCCAGTTCTGTGCATGGACATGTGGGTCCAACAAGCATTTATTGCATGACTAACTTGTGCCAGGCACTGGCGATAAAGGCATGGTCTCCAGCCTCAGGAAACTCACAGTGTAGGGGGGAAACCTCAACAATACAAGCACTTTCCTCATCACGGAGAGAGCTTGGATCCACTTTGCACAAGGGGCATGTGGCACACACAGGAGGGAGACAATGGCTTCTTTCTGTGTGGTGTCTTGGTCTCCATCCAAATGAAGGCCTTTACTAGGGGCATTTCCCTTATCAGGAAAGGGGTTTTTAGTGACTGACATTGCTTTAAAAAAAATCACTGAGTGCTACTAATTGGTCAGACAGAGATGGGAAGACCAAAGAAAAGAGGCAGGGGCGAGTTCTAAGCAACAAAATCTCCCCTGGAAAAAGAAAACTTCAGTAAAGCAGGAGTTGTGGTTTAATAATTACTAACACCTATACAGACTTTACCACGGACCAGCTGTCGTTTACAGATAATGCCTTTATTTCCACAACAACCCTAGGCGAAAGGGGCTGTTTTTTACTCACATTTTGCCAATAAAGAAACTGAGGCACAAAGAGTTACTTAACTGTTGTTGCTCAGGGTCACACAGCAAAAAAAGATATTGAGAAAGCAGGACGTAAAGAAGGAAGAAATTGCAGTTAGGATATGCAAAGCCGGATTCCCGCAAGTACCATTGCCGCCCTGGTGAAGAACGGACTGCGGACACCTCCATTTAGCCAACTCCCCAATACTGTACCACACCTCCCCACCACCCCCATGGGAGACCTCGCGCAGAGCTTCCTCCCGCCTCTAGGGGCGCCTCTTCGGCCGTACAGAACATCTGCAAGATCCGCCGAGGCGAAGCTCGCCGACTGGCAGTGCAGGTGAGTGAGTGCGAGGCCGGAGCTGCCCGGGATAAGGCCCAGCGCCCACCCTCTTTCTGCGGGCTGCGGAGCCATCTGCGGCGACCCCTCCGGGCGTCCGAAGTCCAGCATCCTGCGCCCGCGCTCACACTTCGGCGAGTAAGAAGATTGCGTTCTCGGGCCCTCCTACTGCACCCTGGGTGTTCTGGAAGTCCGGACAAACTCCCAAGGTTGGCCAGGCACCAGGATCTGCCCCTGAGGAACCGAACGTGAATAGAACTCAAATGCCCCCCAGCCCCTGGAGCCACAGTGAGGGCGATAAGCAATGGGCACAGGGTGTGAGACTGCCTGGTTAGGCCAGAGCGCCCTCCCGGGGCTTAGCCCCCAGCTCTGTACACACCCGGCTGGCGGGTGGGCTCTTGGACGCCCGCCTGACGTGTGGCAGGGGCGCACTACCCGCCCCGCCTCGCCTCCCCAAGCGCCCGCACGGGCGCTCCGGGGCTCGTCCTAGGCGCCGTCGGCCGCAGGTCCCGCACCGCGAGCAGCCAACCCAGGGTGACGGCGCTCGCTGCCAAGGACTGTCAGGGCAGTTTCCAACGGTCCCACATCGAGCACTAGATATTAGATTTTAAGAAGCCAGGAGCAAAAACTCATGTGACTAGGAGGAGTGCGGAGTGGAGACCCAAAGCCCACCTGTAAGCAATTGGACATCCCCTTACAGAAAGGTCGTGGGGAGGAGGCGGGCCAGTCAGGGTGCAGTGTAGCACGGATGAAGCATACAGCTTTCTTCTAGTTCCTAAATGCTTCCTCCCCCCACTATCATGATCCCAATTCTACCTTACAAATCCGGCTAGACCAGAGCCTGTGCATGGGTATCGATAAGAGCTGGAAACACTAGGAATTCAGGACAGATGAACCCCTCAGGACCAATGAGAGTACCCATACCAGGAGGGGAAGGGGAAGGTGGGGGGAGTAGATCACAATGACCTACTATAACCCCTCCCAGGGGGATGAACAATAGACAAGGGGGTAAAGGGAGACAGTGCAAGACATGGAAAGATAATTTGTAAATTATCAAGGGTGGGAGGGAAGGGAAAAAAATGAACTGATACCAAAGGATCAAGGGAAAAAAAACCGCTTTGAAAACCGATGATGGCAACATACGTACAATTGTGCTTCAGAAAACGGATATATGTATGGATTGTGATAAAAACTGTAAAAGCCCCTAATGAGCTAATTAAAAAATCCCAAGGCAGTTCCTGAGTATGGAATACCGGGGCCCAACAAAACACCAGTAAGTGTAAAACCCACGAGTACAAAAATAAAAATTTACAACTACAAAGGCTGCAGAACCTTCCCACACCCCAAAACTAAACAAAGGACCCTGCCAGTTCGCGTCAGATGGGTAATGTGCCAGCGTCGTAACAAGTATTAAGGGAGACACATATCACACAAACGCGTGAAAACCCAATCATCATGCTTATGAACCGGAAAAGGATCGGAATATGATGGTAATTGAAGATTACCCGAGTATGAGCTACTGTCTTTTGAGTAAGGGTTACAATTATTTTACGAATATATTCAGTATTTTCACATAAAATCCGGTATACTTTTAAAAGTCTCATCCATACTCTTGTGTTTAAATCTATTTTTTCACTTTAATTAATGAAAACAAATAAAATTAGCGAGCAAGCGATTATCTATGCAAATACAGTCACTATAACTCCACCTTCCTTGTCTCCCGAACCTGGAAGGCTATTTGCTTTACGACTGTTCCGCGTGACCCGGCAGAGCATTGCGGCACTACAGGCGGAAGTTAACCTAGTGCTGGGCGGCAGAGAAGCCCTAGCGTCGTGGGAAGGGCTGCTGGTTGAGTTTCTGGCATTTATTCCGTAAACATTTTCGTTTTGTCTGTTTTTCATGGGCGTGTTCCAAAAGAAGAAGAAGTAGAAGAATTTACGTCCTTCGCGGGTTGGCGTCTGAGACTCACAGCCAGAGAGAGACCTCCTTTTCCTCTGCAGGACCCCTAGCTTTCCCCACGCGAAACCAAATCAGTTGCCCTGGACTAGGACTTAAAGAGCGACATTTCGGGGGGGTAGCCAGAGTAGTCCAGGGTTTTTCAAACACTTTATTTTCATTCGTGCCTGACTCCTCCCTCCTCCAGGCCCCCTCAGAATTGTATTGGGTTTTAGTCTGTTCTTTGGGGGAATTGCCGATCCGGCGCCCGCCATCTTTCCTCAGCCTGAGCCATGGAGCTGGGCCGCGCTCCGGAGAACCCGGCACCCGAGGACCCTGGCTTGCCTGGCGTGCCTTCTCCCGTCGCTCCGAGGGAGGCCTTCTCCCGTTTATTACACCGCCTTTCTCGCCCGGAGGCCCGACGAGGTAAGGGGAGAGACTCAGTTTTTCAGGACCTCGGTGCTTTAATAGAGGCTGCAGAATGCGACGGATTATTTGAAGGGAGTGGTGCATCCACGTGTGAGTTGCTGGGCGAGGTGGCAAAAGCCCTGGGGAGGCTTGCAGCCCCACCCAAGGAAGATGGGAGTCGAGGTGACGGCCGCCCTGCGGTGGCTGAGACCGCCGTGGACGTCGGATTACTATTTCTGAAACTACTCCGGAAAATTCAGACTGGCAAGACTTCCCTGGGGTGCTCTGCGTGGAAGACCGGGCTGCATCACTTGGCAGGACCCGTCTATCTGTTTGCTGTCGCACACAGCGTGGAACAACCGTGGACCAGCCCAAGATCTCAGGAGGTTGCTAGAGAGGTGCTCTCCTTGCTGCTTCACGTTTCAGACTGCGGTTCTGTGGCAGGGTTCCTCCGTGGAGAAAATGAAGATGAGAAGGGGAGATTGACTGCTATCATGGGGCTTCTCAAGCCCAATTTGGCTAAGTGAGTACTTCCTGCGCAAAGGGCTGCCAGACTGGGCCTTCAGCGTAATGCTTTCAGAGGTCGGCATAGGAACCTTAGTTTTATTAGGAACGTAAGAACTAGCCATCAGGTGGATTTCAACTCATGTGGGTCCTGGTAGAACTGTGCTTCATAGGATAGTCAATGGTTCATCGCGTTCAAAGTAGTTGGCCAGGCCTGTCTTTCTAGCACATCTGCTGGGCTCTTAACCTCCAGACTCTTAGGTTAAGTCAGTCTATTATATTCGATTAAGAGTCAGTCCATTATATTTACCCTTTGCACTACTCAGGGACTCAAACAGTAAAATAAGGGTGTTGCAATAGCTTGCAAGTCTCCTAGAACCAGCAATGATTGATTTACTATAAATAACAACGAAATAGTGGCAAATGGCAGATTAAAATCTAGATGCTCAGGTGCCCACTTTTTAGTGCTCTTCCCAATCCTGCTAAAACTCTGTAGAATAAATTGGAAAATCTACCCTATGTACTTGGGTTTAAATTTCTTATTAAGGAGCCTTGTGGCACTGTTGGTTAAAAATTGGGCCACTAGCTGGAAGGTCAGAGGTTCAAACCTGCCAGCCACTGCTTGGTCGAAAAATGAGGCTCCCATAAATATGTACAGACTGGGAAACCCAATGACCTCTGTAGCTGTTCCAGGCAGAGACTCGATTTAAGATCGACTCCACAGCAATCAGTTTGATTTCTTTAATGCGTTGGTGTCCACTGAGGGTTTGGTTTTGTTAGGTGGGGAGGGTAGTTAGGAAAGGATTCAAACTTAGGTTTGAGCTTTATAATGAGGGATCTTGGAACTCATTGTTATTTATTAGATAGGAAAGCAATGCTTGGAATGAAAAAAATTTAAAAAGCCTTCAAGATTACTGTTAGCTGAAGTATTTTCTGTGAGTTTCCATTTCCTGCTTTCTGGGTTCATATTTGTAGTGGTGGGGTAAAGAGAGAAAAAAAAATGTGATCGTAAGTGTCATTTTACCAGGAAATTCCAGTCAAAAGGCTTGGTTTTAAGCATAGTGCTTCTTTTTGTTACTTTTATGTAGGACCAGGTGAGACAGCCACTTTGAGTCTCAGTTCATTATTTGTCATATAAAGATAATATCTATTATATAGTTATTTTAGGATTAATCATGTAATATGTATAGCCATACTTTATAAAGCTCTAAATTATTAAAATATAGATTTCCCCCTATATAATAATAAATAATGTGAGCCCTCTTTCATTCCTCTCTTCCTTCACCAAACATCTTCACCACAATCACTGCCACAAAGCCAAAGGTCACGTTGCTGTGGGTGTAAATAGTTACTTCTCCCTGGATAAGTTTGAGACCCAGAGCCCTGGATGATTGTTAAATGTTTTTGGTGTAAGTTATTTTGATCCAAATATTCAAATATATGTTATAAAGTCAAGAGTCTTGTTAAGTGTGGGCTGTGCAGTTTCAAGGTCAAAAAAAATACTCTGCTCAGCTTGCGCTGCTTGATTTCCTTTGCTACTTAGCATCACAGCACTTACTGTGACTTCACGCTTCCCTCTAGGGAATCGTGGAAAAATAACCCTGCCACCAAGCATGTGTTCTCATGGACTCTGCAACAGGTCACTCGACCCTGGCTGAGCCAACATCTGGAACGGATGGTTCCGCCGTCATTGCTCATCTCCGATGACTACCAAACTGAGAACAAGCTCTTGGGTATACGCTGCTTGCATCACATTGTACTTAACGTGGTAAGAAACCGTGCTGTGGATGAAGGACCTAAATCACTCCTGGCTGGCCCTCCGCTAGTAGCACTATTTTATTGTTGCTCCTTGATGTTACTTATTTATTTATTCTGTTGCTGTTGAGCATACACACGGCAAAACATGCACCGATTCCAGTTTCTACATGTATGATTCAGTGACACTGATTACACTCTTGGTGTTGTGCCCCCATTTTCACCCTCTTTTGAGTTGTTCCTACTCTGCTAACACAAACTCACCGCCACTTAATCTTCCTCTCTAATCTTGCAGGTTGCTCCAGAATAGATGGTCCATTGCTCAAGGTAGACATTTTTACCAATTAAGGAACCTTCATAGGATACTTTTGGTTCAGGGTTTAGTGATAATCTCAGGTCAGTAGTGTCAAGAGTTCTTTCAGGTTTCCTGGCTCCAGCGAGTCTGCGGTCCATGAAAATTCTGTTCTTCATCCCCCTTTTGATCAGAATTCTTCTATAGACTGCTTAATTAGAATGTTTAGTGATGGTAGCTGGGCAATACCTAGTTGTTGTTTTTTAACTTTTTTATTTCATGGGAAAGAGGGCACTTGTTCATGGAGGCAGTTAGCCATCCATTCCATACCCTCCTCTTCATTCTCCTTCCTCTGTGGCTGCAGGGAAAGAGTCCATCACTGCGCCTTGGATAGCGCCTTTCAAGCTTCTAAGACCCCAGGACTATGCAGCAGGACTAGGAGGTAGTACAGACACTACACACGATGTTCCCTTACCTGAACCTACCCAAACCTCGAAGCCAAGGAATTAAGTTTCATGAGGTGTTTGGTTATACATAAGCTATTCCTTTTTTCCCCCAGTCATTGTTGTAAGATATGTATCACACAATTTTGGCAGTTTAATTTTTCAGTGTACAATATCGACAGCGATAATAGTAATTGGCTGTGCAATCTTGCCCTTGATCGCTGTGACTTTTTTGTCACCGTAAACCAAAACTCAGTACTCCATAAACAATAATCTCCTCATTGTCCCTCCTTCCCACCTCTAGTAACTAACTACAAGTAAACTTTGGTCTCTATATGTTTGCTTTGTTCTTTATACAGAAGGGAGGTGATACCATATTTGTCCTTTTGTGATTGACTTGTACTCATTATAATGTCATTAAAGGCCATCTCCTGTATTGTAGCATGTATCAAGACCTCCTTTTTCTCCTACTGGATGAGTAAGTAGTTCCAGTTTGTTTCATTGCTGGGTCAGAGGATAGTTTTCTTTGTTTTTTGAGGAATTGCACAAAACAGTGGCTGCCCCGTTGTGCGTTCCCATCAACAGTAGAGAAGTGTTCAGCATTTCCCACTTCCTTGCCGACATTTGTCCTTTCTCTGATCTTGGCCATCCTAGTGGGAATGAAACAGTATCTCACTGTGGTTTCCATTTGCACTTCTCTAATGGCTAAAGATGCGGCACATCTTCTCGTGTGTCTGGTGACCATTTGGATGTCTTCTTTGGTAAAATGTCTCTGCGTCCTTTGCCCGTTTTATGATTGGGTTGTCTTTTTTTGTTGAGTTGTACATCTCTTATTCACTAGCTTTCTATTAAAATTGCTAAGTTAAAAACAAAACTGCTAAGTAACCAGATTAACTTGTTAGTATATTCTCTCATATTTTTCCTCTGCCAACCAAGAAGTTATATGCCATAGTTAATATAATAACTAAAAAGATAATTGCAAAAGAAATGGGATGGCAATAGGTCATTATCAAATTGAATAAAGTATGCATGCAACTCCTCAAGGAAACTTTTTTCCCAGACTTTGTGTTATGGAACTTAAGAAATAAGCACATCACTAGAGAGAGGAAAGAGAGAGTGGCATAATGAACCTAATAAGCTTCCTTGAACCTGTAATTCACTTTACAATTTCCAACATTTTGCCAATTTGGGGAAACTTTTGCTGTTGATTTTAATTGGGTAATTTGTCTTGTTGCAGCCAGCTGCTGACTTGCTCCAGTACAATAGGGCCCAGGTTCTATACCATGCCGTTTTCAACCACCTGTACACACCGGAGCATGAGCTCATTCAGGTAACTGAGATTTGTCCACAATTGCCAGTCAGGGTTCTCGAAATGTTTTAGAAAGAAGGCGTTATGAGTAGGAATGGTAGGGAGATATTTTCCTCTCTGGAAATGAGGATAACTTAAATCCATTGCTAAGTTAAAAGCATGTAGGTAGCAAATGTTTAGTGAAGCTTTTTTTTACCTTAAATAAGTTTTATTGTGTTTGTCAAGTATTATACAATATGTTTTTTTTTAATCATACACTGATGTTTTATTTGAAAGAATTTTAAGTATATGTTCATTCTAGAAATTCTGGAAAATACAGAAATTCATGATGAAGAAAAAATTTAAATTAGCTTTTTCCCCATAGA